GAGCATATCATGTGCAGAAGAAGACTTGTGCTTCATGTGGTGAGGGTTTAGGGTTTAGGGTTTAGGGTTTGCAAACGAGGGTTTAGGGTTTTCATGCTGTAACATACTCTATATATACACAAAACCCTCCCTGTGGGGTCCACGCTACAATACATGCATGCGGGCTCTCCTCCTGCTCCTCTTTGTCTCTTTTCTTTTTCTTTTTTTCTACTTTATTATTCGTTATGTTCAGCTGCTGCGGGTATTACGGTGTACGTACACCCGGGGGCTACCTGCAGCGGCAGCAGCAGCAGCAGCAGCAGCTGCTGCTGCTGCTGCTGCTGGTGGATGCCTGCCTCCTAATATATCTCTTTATCTGTGCAAGATAATGTCAGCCTCGGGTTGTTGAGCATGAGGGTGTTTGTTGGTGGGGTTGCTGCTGTGCGTTGGGGTGTACATACACCTCAGTACACTGAGTTTGGGTTTGTTTGCTCCGCTAGGGTTTAGGGTTTAGGGTTTAGGGTTTAGGGTTTAGGGTTTTGATATGNTTTGGGTTTGTTTGCTCCGCTAGGGTTTAGGGTTTAGGGTTTAGGGTTTAGGGTTTAGGGTTTTGATATGCTCAGGATACCCCTCTGCTAAGAAGAGGACATACAACTGGTCCGCCAAGGCAAAGAGAAGACACACCACTGGCACCGGCAGGTCCGTCTAGGGTTTAGGGTTTAGGGTTTAGGGTTTAGGGTTTAGGGTTTAGGGGGGATGGATGAGGGTCCCCATATGTGGTTTGCATATTATTTTATTTTTTTATCTGTCTCTCTCGCCGTTGTGCTGCTGCTGCTCTGTGTCTCGCTGATACCCTCTCCTAGGGTTTGTATGTTGCAGGTACTCTAGTCTAGGGTTTAGGGTTTAGGGTTAGGGTTTAGGGTTTAGGGTTTAGGGTTTAGGGTTTGTGTGTGCAGAATGAGGTATCTGAGGACTCTGCCTCGCCGCGCAAAGAACCAATTCAGAGAGGGTACAGTTGCAGTCAGCCAAAAGAGAAAAACAAAAACACAAAAGTAAACCCTAAACCCTAAACCCTAAACCCTAGAAACAAGTCGTCATAGAGACAAATAAATAACACCACGGGGGCCCCAAACATGGGGGCCCCCCCATACCCCCAACACGCGGCCTCTGCCTCTGGCTAATGCAATATCCTCTGCTGTGGGGCTTGGGTTGCATGGGGGTCCCCCTGGGGCCCACTGGGGGCCCCCTGGGGGCCCCCCGGGCCGCTTGGGGGGCCCCCTGGGGAGCTTTGGGGGGACCCCAGTACCCTTTTGGGGCTCAAGAGAAACTGTTAGGGGCCCCTCAGGGGCCCCCCATGGGGGGCCCCAGTGCATGCAAGGAGGGGACTGAGTTTGTCGTTGGTGTTGGTTGGTTGTTTTAACTGAAGTGTAGTTTAGTAGGAGAAGGGTTTATATAAACCCTAAACCCTAAACCCTAGGCTAGTTTATATAAACGGCACGCTAGTAAGCTAGTTTATATAAACCCTAAACCCTAAGCTAGTTTATACAAACACTAAGCTAGCAGGCTAGTGTATATAGGCCCTAAACCCTAGACTAGTTTATATAAACCCTAAACCCCAGGGTAGATGTAGAGGAAAGGGGAGAGGGGGGGTAGGGGGCCCCCAGGTGTATAGGGCCCCCAGGTGTATAGGCACCTCAAGCAGGGGCCAGAGGAGGGGAGGGGCGAGGAGGAGGGGCCATAAGAAGGCAGCAAGTAGAAGGAGAGTTGAGTTTATAGAAAGGGGTGTTGCGGTGTACGGATAGCTTGGGGTGTACAGGCAGCTTGGGGTGTATAGGCACCTACAGCCAAAGGCTATATGGGGCTGGGTGCCCCAGAAGGGGGGAGAAAGAGAAATATAAATATATTTTATTATTTAAATTGAGTTATATTTATTATTTTTAATTATTTTTCTATTTAATTTGATAATAAAACGTTAATCAGGGGCCCCAACAGGACAGGGGGCCCCCCGGCGTGTTACAGGGGGTACTAGGGTGGTGGGGTTGTTGTTATTTAGGGGCCCCTTTATTGTTGCTGCTGCTGCTGCTATTTCTCTACTTTTTTTCTTTTTTTATTTGCATTTTCATCTTAGCATGCAACACAAACCCCACCACTATACTCTCCGCCGCCCCTAGAGGGGCCCCCAGCCCGGGTTTGGGGGGCCCCCCTAGAGGGGCCCTCTGTAGGCAGCACCATGGGGCCCCCCCCTAAACAGAAGTCGGTGGGGGCCCTCCTGCTGCAGTCAGCAGATCTCCGTGACCTGCTATGTGCAGCCTCACGAGCTCGAGTGCGTTTATAAACCCTAAACCCTAAACCCTAAACCCTAGAATTTTACCCTCTCCATAGACCTACGGTCTAGGGTTTAGGGTTTAGGGTTTAGGGTTTAGGTTTTTCTTATGCTTCAGGTTATGAAGGAAGAAGTGCAGACTCTCCCTGCACCTGATGTCGCTCTCCTGTGCTACCGCGTGGGGGGCCTCCTTAATAC